TCATTTAAAATAACTTAAAGTGTCATAAAAATCACACGGTGGAGAAATTGCGTCAAAAAAGCAAGCGGACTAGAGTGAGAGTGAAAGAAGTGAGGGAAGTTGGTAGTATTAAAATAGGAAGTATTGATTTTAGTTGATGAGGTGCGAACAAAGTAGCACGTACTGCAGTAAGGTGAGTAACCGTCTAGACCCAGCGGACATCACAGAACGTATGAGGAGAGACACATTCATGAGTTAGTATGAGAGTTCATGAGGTTATGTTAATGAAGAAGACGACTCATAAGCTCCACAATATGGAAGGCTTCTGAAATGCGATGCGTTACAGTCAACTGGTTTACCGCTGATACTATGGTACGACATAATCCGACATAATCCTCAAATCCACAAAATGTCAGTTCTGAATTAAAACCCATTAATGGCGGGTTAATTTCAAAGACACAAAATTATTAAGACACAAGATTGCATATACGTTACAATTAAGAATAGCATTATATAAGTTTGAGATATGAATGGCTTAATGTGCCTCAAATTATTAAGCACTGAATATCCTTTCATATTACGAGTTGTTGGACATATATTCTGCTTTAAATTTATGGAATTAGTGGTGGAATTTGAGGGCTGAATAAACGTTAAAATGAATGACGGTGCACTGCCGTTGAAAGTGAGCCACTGAACACGAATGAATTTTCGGTGGGGCACTGAACGAGATATGATTGAACTTGATTGTCGGGCGCGCTGTACTCGGCTTCACGAGCCCCGGTCGCGGCATGTTGGAGGCATGTCTACATGAGCTCGTTATCGCTTGCTCCTTTGACTTTACGTTCCATGAAATTTACGCGGTAGAAATTTTTCATTTACAACTAAAAAACAGATATTTAATAAATATTCCGTTCTATTCCGAATGCAAGTCAATAACTTAGCAGTCACGCTCATATGCTGATATCTGTCAAGAAGAGAAACCAAGTGAAGAAGAGTAATGCAAAGTGTTTGTCCCCAACATAAGATAAATTAGTGATACGTAAGAATTATATGATGAATATGCGTGGTTCAGGTTTTATCAAGTCATTCATCTATATTGAGTAATTTATACGTTATTACAGTATTCAAATATGCTCCCTTACATAAACATGCATCTTTGGAACTCTGGCGAGCCTAAAATTCCAGTGTGAATAAAAAACACTTTATTGCATTCTGGCAATTACCGATAATTATAAAATCTTACACGTACAAAGATATGACAAACAAACATCCAATACAACAGAAGAAAATAAATGAAATCATAAAACAGGCTTGTGATATGCCCGAACAGAAATTTCATGGGTTATGTCACGACACAATAATAAAATGAAGTCAATGAAAAATGTATTCGAAAATCTTCCTTACATCATTCTCTCCAATTTTCGACAGGAGTATTTTTTCTCGGAGTCAAACGGTCCGATCGAAGAAAGAAATATTTGTCCAAAAGGACATAGCAAAAGGAAAATTCAAATACAAAAAAAAACGAAATTAAACCTCCACAAAAGGTTGTAGCGTCCAAAGCCAGTAACGTCAACGCTGCGTCAAACGTCACGATGTGTTCAGAGCCAGTAACGCCTCTCAGACGCGTTATTGCTGCAGTCTCTTTGTGCTTAAAATTACTGATAAATGCGAACACTTTTCACATAAAAATATGAAATTAATAACTTGCAACCATGCTGAAAATGGACACAAATTTTATAACCTGTTGCTTATAAAAACATTGCTGATATGTAGATGCAAATTATTAATGTTAGTCATATAAACAATTTTCCAGGACACAATACCCCAGATATATCAAGAATAATAACACAAGAATAAATCACTCGGTACTTGAGCCTAAATACAAATCTCTACAATCCCGTACTCTTCAGATCAACTTGGACGTCTAGCTACGTAGGCCTACCACGAATCATGCCCACACCAAAAAGCAAATCTACCGACCAACGGCGAGAGAAAATAGATGATGAAACACTTATACTCGTTCGTAGGAAGAAGTGAGAAGCACAAAACTGTATTATATACCCATTAGTGAGCTACCCATATCAAAATCATCAGCAAAAACTCGGCAATGCGTTGAAAGGTTCAGTACTTAAACCTACTCTTAAACTGAACAGTTTTTAATTTAGTCAGTTTTAGTTAGTCCGTTCATTTTAACGACCAGTAAATTATTGCAATTAAATTTTGATGAGGGTAGCATACATTTGAGCCAGATTTCACTCATTACACATATTAGTTATGAACAATCAAGATTGGAAATACACCAAGAAAGTTGTACACAGAAAGAAGTTCTCAAAGGAAAAATAATTGCACGATCGAGACGTCGCACCCACTAACCATCATGTAGTGCTAAAAAATATTATACGCAACAGTAGAGTACACACAAGTAAACTACCATGTCGTGGCGAGAGTACTAATTTGTGCGTACAAATTACCATATTGTGCTGGGATAGATCGTATACATCAAAATTATGATGAGAAAACCAAAGACAACGAAATGCGTCTCAACTTTACTCAAAATGTTAACTAAAACCAATACTTCACAAATAAGATAAAATCCATTATATAAGAAATGATCGTCAAGCAAAAAGTAATATTTTTGAAAATCGGAAATTTATGTCGAATTTTCGAATCATTTCTAGAACAATTCGAATAACCGCAGGTCGTATGCAGACTTAATCTTCGCATCCGAGATACCAGAGATACCAAGACCTAATATATGGCCCACTCCGGTACACTTCAGATGCCCGACTTCCAATGTCTTGAAGATGAATAGATAATTTTTCAGTGAAGAAAACTTTACATCAAGTAACTTTTTTTCCACGGCATAAATATATCGCAAATCAATAAAACCCTTACATTTCCCATGAAAAGTAAAGCGGATCGTTCGAGTCCATGGTAATCAAGTGTTAATTACAGCGCTTCTCATAGAAATATAAAATTAAGAAGTTACAACTTTTGATCAGTTAATTGGAAAAAAAAATCAATCAGAATACTGAAACTTAAAGGCAATTTTTGAAACCAAAAAACATTTATACATTTATGAACTGGCGCTAGCCCATGAAGTGCCGGCGCCGCTTTATTTTAGGCTGTATAGGCCAATTTATTTTAGGCTTTGGAGCCGAACATTCTTTCATGTTTGTCTGATTTGAAACTTTCAGAATTTGCTACTCGGAAGAGAAACATGTAGAAGATAACCATCGTAAGCTAATCATATAATCCCAATAATTTTCAGGGCAAAAAAAAACACGGAAAAAACATCACCCGCTACAACGGAACAACAGGAGCAGCAGAAACGAATCGTACAGCGACAAGAAGAGCAACAGCAAAACACATATAACACTTCAACTCCAACTAAAAGCGATGTGTTGTCTGTATTCACTTGTTTGCGTTGTTTTAAATGTGAAGAGCGATGAATGTTTGATCTATCAAAAGTCACATTTTGCCTCAGCCAAGTCTTTACGCCAATAAAATTATCGAGACATTTTTTTAGTTCCTTTTTAGAAGTTTTCGAATTAATTTTATGGCACTATGAGAAGTCAATTTGATTTTAAGTAGCAAATTTAAAAGGTATATCGACTGCGACGGAGGCAGTGTGGCATGACAAATATCAGCATGGACCTTATTTTCTTGTTGCTTTCATTTCTCTTTCCCAGGAATAGACTTGTGATCAGGTGGTGAAGTCACGATAAATAATTTTTTTTTTCAATGAAAAAAGTGCCTGCATTGGGTAAATACACTGGAAATTTGAAGCTCAAAATGTTTTCGATTTAAAATTGTAAGTGAAGACCAAAATCGATTAAATTCGATTGGTCTGGTTACGTGAATAAACTTATTTTAATAATTAGGTATTATTATTATTAAAAATTTTATAGATTAAAATTCTTACTTAATGAGTCGCCCTCGAACTAAATTGAATGTATGCTTCCTTGCTGCTGCGGGATTTCGGCATGACATAGCACAACAACCAAATTTATGCTGCTATTCAACCCATAATATCAACAAGATGGCATGTCAGAGTTTCCAGCTTAAGCAGCTTATTCTGAGCAGCTAAATCTCAACGAAGCTCGCTAACTAAGCATTAAGCTGCAGACTAATTAGCATTTAAATGTTAAACAGAAAATGCAGGCATTTGTTGCCAATTAAACTACTAAAGCATTGAACGCCTGTTTAAATGATTTACGAATGACATGATTGATTTCTGATTTGTAACAGAATTGGTTTGAATTGAAAGTAAACTGCGTATCATAGAAAAAAACCTCCTCTTTATCACGCTACAAGTGATTTTTTGTATGTATGATGAAACTCTCAGACCCCTTATTTTAAAAATTTTCAATATACATGCACAAGATGATCTATTATTGATAGATACTGGACGTTCCAATATGTTGAGCAATTAGCAGCGCTTTTTGATAGTCATGTTTTCTGAGGCACAAATTCAGTGTTTGTATGTAAGTTTAGTAACTAACTATGTTTGAGTAACTTCATCCACTAAGTTTTTGAGCCTTTAATAAACCTTGTGAGTAGACTTCATAAATTCAATTCACGCGTTAAGTTCGTGCGCCCATGAAGCTCGAGCTTTACGTGTTACTAAACTTGAACGAGATTCCTATGTATGTTTACCGAGTCTAAATGGCCTATGTATGTTTACCGAGTCTAAATGGCTTATGTATGTTTACCGAGTCTAAATGGCCTATGTATGTTTACCGAGTCTAAATGGCCTATGTATGTTTACCGAGTCTAAATGGCCTATGTATGTTTACCGAGTTTAAACGGCCTATGTGTGTTCCGAGATGTCGTTAGAAAGTCATTGCAGCAAGAGTGACTTGTATACATTGTTAACACACAAATACACGAGTATCTTCGTGTTGAACATGGATCGACTGAAGCGACGAGTCTTGAGTACGAGAGATAGACAGTACAATTATAAGCGAATCTAAGCTGAAGCTACAATGTTAGATGGCAGATAAGGAAGCCTCACTCACCTTCTCCTGTGAGTGAGGTTCTGGAAAAATTTGTACTTTTTTCGTCTACTGAGGTTGTCGAGACTGTGAGAGAGCAAAGAGTCGCTGCTGTTGAAGAAAAATGAAACACCCACCACATTAATAACTGTGAACTTTGGGAAACCACATCCGACGAGCTGCTTCTGTTCGATTTGGTCTATACGCATTAGATTGTCCATAATTAAATGGCGTTATTTTTGAGCCTTCTACTGTTGGAAAAAATATTATTTTATGATCGATATAAAATGTCAATAATTTACAACAACAACTGGACTTCTATAACGATTTTTAGTGTCAAAATGAGAAGCAACTGAATTTCTTAATAAGTTCAGATATTAGTACTGAATTTCAGCAATGTGGCGGTCAACCTTACACAGGGTTGACAGCCACAATAGAAAGAAGCGTCATTAATTTGGACAACCTAATTATTACGAGCAAAATCCTGAGTAATAAAATCTCGACCTAGTGTAAAAAACCACATCGAAGTCAACAGCTTTAAAGCAATGCTATTATAGTACAGTCTGCGACCAAAAAAAAGTGATTCAATCGACTGTTCTAATGTAATTTAATATCTGCAAAAAAACGCTTAAGACATTTTCAACATGCATTGCATAAGCCAGACTTGTCTTGTATGGACCTATTTGAAATCCACTTATCCCGGACACAATAAAAATTTTATTCAAAATAAGCAAAAAGCAACAAAAGTTGGACGGTGGGAAAGAAAATTAAATACAACGAAGGAGAAATCTTCGAAAAAGTTTCTACAGCATTGTTCACTTGAATTCCTTGTTAACTTGAAAAAACGCACGAATAAAAATATATTTCACTTTTCAAACTAAACAAGGTAGTAACATATGTTTTAAAATATCTATTGGGAAATGCGTCTGCCTCTCAACTCGTGATCTATCATCAAACCAAAGGTTGGATGCACAGAAGAATCGAGCATTGAAATTTTACGCTATAGAGCAACGCAGCCGAGATACCTGAGCTGGAATGCATATATGCTACATCACCTCAACATCCGCTGCAACAACTTCTATTTTATTCAAAAACACGCCTTAAGTCGCAACGAGAAATCTCCAGAAATCTCTTAAGGAATTATTCTAACATATTTTTACGGCCGATGGACTTCGGTGACAACGAAGTAGAAACAAAAATTTCATGTTTGCTAAATGGTCTCACATTGGCACCGAGGTGAATAGATATTAATGATGTTGAACATTTAATAAACGCTAATTGTGGACTATTGAAAAAGCTAATCAAAATGATCAAGTCCATTCGAGAATTTCAAACAAAGCATAGATGAGGTCATTTGGCAGGGAATTGCGGCACAAACGCTGGTAGGAAAATTGACAGGAAGCGCAATTTTGTGACGCGATTTATTCTGATAGACCACAAAATTGGAAGGATAAAGAAGGATTTGCACAAGGTAGGAAATTTGGATTGAGGGATCAAGCATGATCGAGTTTCTATAGCGGGATATGATTGAAAAGAGCACGATGTTACAACGTCTATAGCCTGAGTATAATAATAGTAAGAGGGTTAAAAGAACGCGAGAATAGAATTAAATGTTTAACTTTCTTTATATTGGAGGTCATTAGGTGAAAATAAAAATTACTGCTGGAATAGAAGGATGAAGGATTATTCCCTAGGTAATGAGTAGGAATTACGGTCAGAATACGACTAGAAGGATTTTAAATCAATTTTATTCCATAAAATTTTGGATGATTGATTGCAATTTATAATGGATTGGGATTGCAATTTATAATGGGAAATTACTGAAGGAATAGAGAAAAATTCACGACATTCTACGGTAGAGGCAGAAAAGTGTACATTAATTTCATGAAACAAATTACTTGCTCTCAACGTGTTCTACGATAAAGAAAGAAAGAGAAAGGTGGCTGCTCTGCACTTTCCTGTGCGAACATTATTGCACAGCAAACACTTCACAACAGACAGACAACCTGAAGTATACTATGCGGTCTGTAATTGAAAAAGGATTTGCAATGTTGAACTTCATGGCAATCTCTTTGGGCAAATGTAATGCTATTGAATATCAAAGTTTTTACACGCTCAAGTTTTCCGGTAATTATACGCGGCACAAGACTTCTTATTAACTGAAACAAACACCGAAGAATTTGAATGAAAATTTCAGCTTGGAGGCAAAATCTCAGCGACTGAGAAATAAGCTAATTTTTAATCAAAAGAACCTTTACTTAGTTCAGTGTGCAAGTGGGAGATAATATTAAATCCCCGCTAAGTATCGTAGTTCTCATTTCTTTCTTAAGAATAAAAATCACCAGTTCAGCGTTAAAATTTCAGCAAATTTATTAGTATAGATATAAAAGCTACTAAAATTTGAACCTTTTTTGCATATATTCTTCTCTATATTGATAACTGGGCGGTAATTCTTTTTAAAGAATCACTGAATAGCTATGATACGAGCTTCGTGATAGAGCATGAAAAGGTCTGATTTCAGAGTAGGAATGCGTCCAGAGGAATGCTTCAAACGAACGCAACGAAAGGAATGCCTAATAGGATGCATCGTGAGAAAAGCTCCAATCGGTGCATCGGGATGAATGCCCCAAAAAAAGGCACGGAGAGGGATGCCTCAAGAGAGGAATACCCGAAGAGAGAGCTCATGAGTCGAGGATGTTATTCGCTGGCGTAAATCAAGGCTGTTTTCTGCTGTCAAGTCTTCAGTTGATGTGAGCAAGCAGATTGCAGCAAGCACCAACCGAGTTTGGCTAGAAAGTCAGCCATAATTTCCCCAGAGAGTCATAATACTTAGGCAGAAAGGATTACGTACGACAGGTTCTAGGGTGAACTTGACCAAACTCTGTCGTCTGTTAATAGATTCTTGATTCCAGCTCTGCAATCACATCAAATGTACTATTGATCTATAGTAACCGCATCTTAATTACTTTATTTACTTGTAATCTCTTTACACTTCATGTGTGGTTCGATGCATATTCTACTGCTACTGCAATCAAGAAACCAAAAGGCAGCAATTTCCGACAACTTAGGCTATAATTTAAGTGATTCGCCAGCAATGGCAAAACTGGGTAATGATGATAGCCTCTTCTGCTTAAACTTTTTGCTGGAATAGAAAAAAAGATAATGCTGGAATGAAATAATGAGAGAGTTTGGTTAAGCGTTGGTGCTTAGGTTCTGGCCATGGTTGAGGGTCGCGACACACAAGACGTCTCGTGTCACAAATCATTACTGATATGTTGATACTCGAGGTAATTCTTGCCATACTATCTATCATCATTGTATTGCCTCCTGCAAGACATCCTTGTCGCGGCAAAGATGATGTCATTGCGGGTTCATTCAGTCAAATGACGGCCTCCATGATGTCGTTCGTAAGTTGAACCACTAGAGGCAGCGATAAATGAGCCAAGATATTCATGTAAAATTCAGCAAACGTTCTGTTATTACGAGAGAAAATCTTGTGTGCCGCTCCTCGGGGGTAGTTATTACTACATAGGAAGTAAATTAGAATAGAATAAAGTAGTTTAAGAGGAGATGGTGGCAGTACCAAAATGGCGGCATATTTGAGACCGAGACGTGACACCCCAGAGTTCCCAAAAACCCCACCAGATACTCAATGACGGTCGGCATTACTTTCGGGGCCCATCTGAAAGTGAAGAAAGACCCACAAAAAGCAAACTGCCAACACTTTGCTGCCATGAGGGAGCTGGAAACTATGTCCATAGCGAGAGGAATGAACGTCGGACAACATCAAATTGAGATGCATATGGCTCATCTCCTCCTGAGTAACTTGAATTGAGCGGCTGAAAATGAACGGCAAAGCCACAAATGTGTATATGACTACAACGAGAGTTTGGAGAGACCGGGAATTCCTAAATAAATGTATCTAATAGCATTGTTCATTGCTCCGGAAACACTAAAATAAAAGTGTGCAAGATAGATTTTCTTCATAATACCAATCATCGCTCCAACGCCAGTAAGAGTGTTGAAAAAAAACAGAAGACGGGGACTGTGGACCGTCAGGAAATGACAAATTAAAAACCGTTTGCGAAACATCAAAATCGTCACTGAACCACGGTTTACTCGTACAGTAGACAACCAAGTCACAATGAGGCTAAGATTTGAAGAATTACTTGATTCTGACTTGATCGATTCAGAATCGATTGTGTCGTACAAAAACGCTTAAGTTTGCGATAATTTTTCATCCCAGCAGGAGATTAATCTCCTAAAGGTTTTAAATGTTCTTACGTTTTCGGAAATCTTGTTCGTAGACATACATATACTGATATTAACGCTGGACTTACTGTTTACCTTTACCTGAAGAAATTCCCTTTAACGCGGACCGAACGAAGAAAGTGACAGCTTACATTTAAAAACTGCCTTTATTCATCAGAAAACAATAACAATATGAAACTCCCCAGTTACGAACGTGAAACAAGCAGAGAATAAAAATCTACATCCCAAGAAAAAGTTACATCTCAAAAATGAAGGTAGAAAGTATAGGTAGCAAAAAACTCCGGTGGGGACTCGGAAGAAGCTAACGTGTTGAGGCATGCCACTTCGCAGTTGACTTCAGTTTTGTTATGAAGCGATAGTGGAGAATTATTTATATAGATTACTGAGCCTACAGAGCAGGTATGACGTCAACATCTGTGGCATGTTCAGAAACCGTTATTGAGCAGCGAGTGTTTCTCAAAAGCCAGTTTTTCGGTTCAAAATTTTATGAAGAATCCCATACACGCCGGTCCAGTCGCAACACTCGACGTATAGAAAGAGTAGAAACCTTCAGTTGAACGTCAAAAACCTCCAAATTTTTTATAGAACACGTTTTGATTACACCTCATAACGATAAAACCACGCGAACATTTTAAGTAAATTATTAATTGGCAACATCCGAACGAACAAATATTTGCGCTGTAAATCAATTTATGAGCAATTGGGTTCAAATATTGTATGTTTTTAGGGGATTCCTCTCCACTTATGTTTGTTTTTCCCCCATCAAAATATGTGAGTGAAAGGAGAAACTAAACGTTAAAATGTAGCAGTGAAATGAATACCTTCACTAGGCAGTCAAATAATTTAGAGACCAATATGCACATAATGCTTAAGAAAAGCCGATAAACTAGCATGAATGTGAGGCAATGATCGATATACTAGATTGCGGAGAGATGAATAAAATTCTTACCTGTGATTATATTTTCTAAGTTTTTGAAGTCCGTATTTACTGTCAGTGGAGCCCTTGGAGACCGGTAGAGATTCTAGGTTGGCCATGAGCAGGTTTATGGAGGTCTTAAGCTCCTCCAGGTACAGCGACTCCATTTCCTTCACCACGAACTTCGGCATCAGCTTCCGGTTCTGCGGAAGGCAGGATGGCGGTGAAACTTTCCGGACACGCAATCAGTGCTCCTCAAACGGTTTATTAAAGTTAAAATTTTTTCGTGAATAACGTTTGTGATATTTTTGTGATGTGATTTCATCATAATTCATTAAAAAATTGACTTTTGCTCGAAAGACACGTGTGATATAAATCAAAGAGAATTTAGAGGTCGTTAATCCCGAAAACACTCAGTTCTGCACACCCGCAAGTTACTTGATTACATTTGTCACAGTGATGCAATAGAGTTATAATACAATTCCTGCATAACACTCGTAATTAATTGAGTTCTGCTCGCATGATGCAGCCAATGAATTTAATTACTGACAAAGTTTCTGCTAAAAGCAGCGAGTAATAGAAATTTGCGACATTCTACCCAATAGTTGAATATTTTAAGTTCTCACCTCTTATTTATATTAATAATTAATTTAGATCAAATCATGATATTTTCATTTTTTCTGATTTAACTCACATTATTTTTAACCCGCTCAGAAAGTCATACATCCATTGTTTATTTTGAAATTATTTATGTATAAAAATTCATTTCAGAGCATATTAAGACTGGCATCAAAACATACCTTTTATTAGAAGGAGGGAGTAAAGTCTTAACCATCAAAATCAAAATTCTTCACAATTGAAACGAACAGTTCTTAACTATATAGAAATCAAAGATCTTATGAATGTGTTTGAGTTAACAATTAATTATGAAAATGACAGTGTCCTACTGAGCACGAATCCAATGAAGATTGAGTGAAATTAGTCATATCTTTAAACACCAAACTTGAGCTACCACGATAAAGACCGATACATTTTAACATCAAACAAATATCTGAGAAAAATTAGTGACAAACAATCGATTGATTGATCAGTTTGGAATAGAAGTTTTAGAAGGTAGTTAAGTAACAGTCTAGAGATCACACTCATCACTTACCACGAATTTAGGTTTCGCTCAAATGGCCTTCAACATCGACGGGTAAATTGGCAAATTGCACACATACACACACAACTGAAGCATGATATTCCATATTTATTGAGGAATGTTCCAACAGAATTATTTATTTATCCGTTCAATATTTGCGATAGACCTTTTGCATTCTCGTATAATAATTTTCCAAATTTTTGTGAGCTGCACCAATTTTAAGAGGCGCTCAAATCGGCTTAGACTGAATGTACGTAAAGATTGCATCCCAAATATTAGTCAACAGTAGCTGTAGTTGTTTGTATATTAATGCTGAGGCATGGTTTGCTGTGATCAAAACAACTATGAAATCTACTAGCCAAATGTATCGAAGTATCGAAATATTATACAGCTTTGAATGCAGAAGGTCAATAATGTACACGATAAGTTTGGATCAAATTGGGATGAGACACAAATTGTGATGGTTTATAGACGATCTAGCAGGATTATTGCGTTAGAGATTACACACAGGTTAAGCACATTGAGAGGTCACACTGTAAATCAAGCTTTTCACTTGACATCAAGTTGACCGCGAATATTCGTAGGCATCAATTCGAAGTAAGTTTGGGTAATTAAATTGATATTAAGTGATGGCCTACATTTTTCAATTTTTGATTCGCCTCAACTGAAATAAATGATGGAATGGTAAAATCGACGGATTAACTTTTTCAGTTTTCAATCAGGCAAAAAACATTCAAAAAGGTATCCTTATCTTTGTGAAAAATAATCCATAAATTCAATTCACACCTATTTTAGCTCCTGTACTCTACACGCATTACATTAAGAGCAAATTAACGAGATTTTTATTTTGAAATCTACCCATAAGTTGTAGAAATTACGGCCTTTTTATTATTGAACTAATTCCTGTAACTTTAAACTCTATGATATGACAGTACTAAAAAGGTGTAACAAATACAAATCAAGCCATCAAACATGTCATTAAAAATATCTAGCAAAAACCCTCCATTTAACCGAACAAAATCTGTGTAGCAGCCCCATTAGCAATTTTGCTTGTTTGCTGCTTACGCGAAATTTCGAAAATCCCAAGTCATTAGCATGTTTCTTTCATGCGTAAATCATGCATGCAAATGCGCTCATCTTCTGATATTCCTTCTCCCTCGAGCCACCAGTGGCCTGCTAGCTCCATCAGTGACCTGCTAACTCCATCAGTGACCTGCAAGCTCCGTCAGTGGCCTGCTGGCTCCATCAGTGACCTGCTAGCTCCATCAGTGACCTGCTAACTCCATCAGTGGCCTGCAAGCTCCATCAGTGGCCTGCTAGCTCCATCAGTGACCTGCTAGCTCCATCAGTGACCTGCTAGCTCCATCAGTGACCTGCTAGCTCCATCAGTGACCTGCTAGCTCCATCAGTGGCCTGCTAGCTCCATCAGTGGCCTACAAGCTCCATCAGTGACCTGCAATCTCCATCAGTGACCTGCTAGCTCCATCAGTTACCTGCTAGCTCCATCAGTGGCCTACAAGCTCCATCAGTGGCCTGCTAGCTCCATCAGTGGCCTACAAGCTCCATCAGTGGCCTACAAGCTCCATCAGTGACCTGGAAGCTCCATTAGTGACCTGCTAGCTCCATCAGCGACCTGCTAGCTACATCAGTGACCTGCTAGCTCCATCAATGGCCTGCTGACTCGCACGGTCCGCTAACCTATTTAGAATTATGGTCACGCTGTCGGTGGCCAAAGATGAGAGTAAGCCACTGTCCATCACTCACAAAAAGATTGGTAAAAAATTAACCTTCATTTTCTCAATTTTTCCACACTGATTTGCACACAAAATAATACAGGTCAGTATTACACAGCTTGCCATGCAGTGCACTACCAGCACGTTGGCTGTTTGCAAGTTTTTTGTGATAATTACGCTACACTTAACCACGTTTGTTCTTTGGTAGCTACGCAATTTCACTGTTGGAATTTTTTCGAAAATTTCAGCTAATATCTCTTTCTTTAATCGCTTGCTTTACTGTGTGCTATATGAGAAGTGCTAAAAATATTCTAATACCTATACAGGCGACCTTCAATCAGTTATAATTCAATTTTTAACAAAAGACTTCTTTTTGAAACTTCAGCAATTTCTGATGGAGATGAATTTTTGCGTCCGACAAGCGACAGCTGTCGCTTCGTTATCTTGTCTTTTACACGGACCATGCGGCGTGTGGTCAAGTGGGTGGGGGAATTTATGTGATTGAAGCATCGTATATGGAAAAACAAACCAAATAGTTCCTCGGCAAAATGAAGATAAATCAAAGTTCATTGCTTTTTTTTACTATGTTAATGCTGTAAAATTAAATCTATAAAATTAGATGCTTGTATGGGGAAATAAATTGTTTGTAGGACAAATAGCTAACTCGGCCTTAGAGATCGTTTAAGTTTGACACGAAGCGACAATCCAAAGTATGATGTTTTGGTGACTTGAAGAAGAGGGACTTCTGAAATGTCATCTATAAATAAATAAATTAAATATTCAGTGTCAAGTCCGTAGACTTGTCACCAGTCTTGCAATATCTTTTAATTCATTGATATTGTAAAAATCGTCGACGCGAGCACATTGGGGTATGTTAAGGTTCCTGCTTCCTAAGTAACTTTCGCGGTACTGACATATTGCAAATATGATAAACGCGTACAAATAAAAAGTAGGAGACAATTTAATAGAAATCAGTGACTAAACTACAAATTGCGAGGTCACGTTGTGCAGGAAAATACAAACAATAAAATATATTCATAACCAGCACGCATTGCGCAGAGATGATTAGGCCATATATACACATAAGTTAATCCACAGATAAAACTCATAAGTAAAAATACAATACATCGGAGCAACTAATACAGACGAGAAACACTGCAGCACTATTTACAAATTTAATGTCCTTGGGACCAGCAAGGTCCCCCATATTGATGTATACTTGATTATACACAAAAGCAGATATGACAGCCACGACTTCATGATGCGAGTAAAATACTATTCGAAAGGTAATCTACACATGCATTGCCGTGCTGAGCGGCTTCGACTAATGCTGAGCATGGAGCTCGTGCAGGGTAGGCGACAGCAAGGAAGGAAGGTGTTCAATCAGCTCAGTTGTTCAGGGACAGGAAATAACACAGTGTGAGATTTTGTGAAGTTACAGTAATTTATAGTAGAAAAGGTGTAGACTTGAAAAAGAATATGCGGCCCATATGGACCAGAGATAGAGTCAAGGTTCAATATCCAGAAAAATAGGTCTGAGGCACAGTACCCTAAAGATAATGCAAGTTTAACAACGTTGTAACTTTAGCGACAAGAGGTGCTAAGTCGGAGAGGGGTTGTGAAAAGTAGACCAGGCATCAAACGTTGAAATAACGTTGTTTCAACGAAATCAACTCGTGATCAACGTTGTTTCTACGTCATTTGCCTGGATGAGAGGAGACACAGAGGCCAGACGAAGGTATTGATCAGAAAGAAGCACACTGAGGAGCAGACACATAGCCATGCTTAGGCGACTCACATCGCTGTCCTCGGCTGCGGCCCAGGCCTAGCGCGGCCGTGGGTGTGAGACGGGCGAGTGAGACACAACGGCGGCACCAACACAAACGGGGGTTACGGGAGGGGGGGGTGACTTGTGAGACAGGGGTGGTGGCATGAGTGGTGGCAGTCTTGAGGCAGGGGTGGTGGCAGTCGTGAGGCAGGGATGGTGGCAGTTGTGAGGCAGGGGTGGTGGCATGAGTGGTGACAGTCTTGAAGCAGGGGAAGTAGCAGTAGTATGATAGAAACGGTGGCAGGAGTTGTGGCAGTAGTGAGATGAAAATGGCTGCAGGGGTGATGACGGTAGTGAGATAGAGGTGACATAAAGGCGGTGACATGGATTTTGTCAGGGCGAGTGACAGAAGTTAGACAAGGATGGCGACACTCGTACGACCAAGAGAAAGAACAAGAAGCGGAAACGACAGTTAATGAAGTTGATAGCAATGAATTGTTTGAAGTGAGGAAAGGGAGCAAGCCTATAGGAGGAATTATGAAAACGAATTATGAACGAACCATAGAAGACAATTAGGAGAACTCGATGAAAATGATTGAGAGCGATACCACGAGATGACCAGTCGTATGGGATTGTAGGGATTGGCAGAAGAAACTAATGATAAATATATGTACGTGGGTCATAATTAAGGTATAAAGTAAACGAGAAGAGGGAAGGGAAGAGATGCAACAAAAGGGAAGAGATGCGAGGGAAATACGCACAGAACACAAAATGAATATCGAGTTCATGGACAAATCGCACAAAATGAAACTAATTATATGTTGTGTACTAAGGTCCATTTTACTATTCGTATATATCAGCCAAATATTGACTTGCAAAATTATATGAGATTTCTAATATACGAGTATTTTTCCAAAATGATGAAGAGAGATTATAATTGGTTTGAAAGTTGATGCGAGTCATGAAAATCATATTCCTTGAATGATGCGCGACTCATTCGTTGTAATGAATCTTGTCGTGAATGAACTTCTGGTCGTATCAGCTAACGTGAAAAAATAATTACAGTTAAAGATTCCGTTAGAACAATTTAAACTGCACGAGAGGAAAATGACAAAGATTGCTGGCTACAAGTTGTAGAATAATTTAAATATAGGTGATTTGGAAACAGCATACTTATCCTGGGTAACTGAATATGCCGAAATCATAAAAAAAAATATACAAACGTTTTGGAAAAAAGTTAATCATCACTAAATATTCCGCTCAAACGCTATAATTTCATGTTAACGTTGAATGTCGGATGCAACAAAATCCAAACGTATCCAGAAGTGAGAAGAAAACCCAATCAGGAAATACGAGTATCATAGCGTCGCGGCGTAATAAAAATGCGTAAAGCTTTCAAAGTTGATGCACAAAAAATAACTTTTATACATATATATAATATATGTAAGAATACTAGAAGAATACAATGAACATAAGCAAGGTTCTCAGATGGAAAGAAGCTGCGTGAATATGGTGAAGATAAAGCAGCAGAAATGCTTGGTATTCAGATGGTAAGCTGACACATGGAAGGCGAGGTTGGTCGGGATGGTCGAGGTATTTGGGAGGACAGTGAAGAGAAGGTTTATACAAAATATGCATTCAGCCCCGGTAAGAACACACGGGTTGTGTAATGAGTGATGAGCAGCAATGCAGTATGAGTAAATATCAATACAGGGATCAAATATCAACCATTCCAAATGGTAGCTCATATCATTAATATTAGTAAGAACAATATATAAGGGGCAAAATACGGGACGATTCTTCACAAAATATAGGCTGAGGCTCACGCTGGTCTGGAACAGCACGGCTTCATTGTATATGCGTTATAATACACACGCGCTTCACTGTTTCCAGTTCGACGAAGGTTCATCACCGCAATAGTTAACAGTTGGACTTCTGGTGCCTTCATTCCCGAACAACAACCTGTCCGCTTCTATCACGAGCCGGAATAAAACCGTAATAAATAAACATTAAAAATGAGTTAAAGGGCAAAGAAAAGTAATTTAAAATGTCTAGTTTTTGATAATTTTAGTTCAATATGTATAGGAAATTTTTCTTTTTTAATGAATAATCAATAAATGATGAACTGGAAACAGCGATAGAGCTCTCTATCTCCAACGCTGCTGCTCCCGCTTGTGATGGTTAATGAAAAAATATAATATTTTTTTAAATACATAAGAGATCTTAAGCTATTAGCTACGTTGCGAAATTAATGAAAGTTAAAACTAGCGGATGTTTTCCCAGTAATCAATCGAGAAAACTTTCTGAAATATTAATGGCTTCATGGAAGTTACATGAACTAACTATGAAGGCCATCAGTCAAGCATCGCATCTAACTACGCGAGCCTAACTTTTAACTTTCTAAGGCACTGAAGTTGATAAATGACATAAAAACGCGCTTTAATCAAACTCAGAGAATTACTGGTAATTATGGGTAGAAAATGTTCTAAATTTGAAACAATAGAATTAACTTTTTGACCGAAATAAAGTTGAAATCGAAATTCTCAAACACAGTAACATGTTAAGTGCACTTCCATGATGACTAACGACTATAAATATGATTCAAGTCAAAGAGAACGATTTAAATTATAATAATCAAGTGAATTACTTGACTGGAAGAAGCTAATTAATAAAAATTATGGAAAATATAGTGTTACGCAAAATAAAAGCATTAGGAAATTCGTACCTTGAAAGCATCATATACGTACTTTAAAAACTTATTGCACGGCATGAATAAGAGTATTATACATACAAATAATGATATGATATGTCATCGTCATCACGCAGCCGTGAGTTCACGTGGCAAGTAATGAGTTAATACAGCAGTGGAGAGCAGCAGCGGTGGAGGCCAGGGGAGTGAAGTGGACTGGAGTGGCCAGGAGTGGCCAGGAGTGGCCAGGAGTGGCCTTAAGAGTGGCTTATTTCATGGCTGCTTTGAGCGAAGTGACCGCCGTCATTTTGCTTGGTATCATTTCGAGCAAAATCGTTAAAAGACTTTCGTTTTTCGAAAGTCTTTTTCGTTTTAACCAAAAACGAATTTTTTCGTTTTAACCAAGAGAGGGAAACACGGAAAAAAGTATCGTCTTTTCTCAATTATAATGTTTAGCGTTCTAAAATCAGTCAGCCATTAAACTTCTTTAGCGAAAAAAAACGAGAGGCGAAATTTTCTTGGCATCAAAACTACATCGATGTTTTCATAGACTCGTTTCTTCTGTATTCAGAAGTGGAAAATTAATTTAATCAATATTAAAGGGGCCTCGATCGTTTACTTTTCAGTGGAAAATAGCGAGGAAGCAGCAGATTCTTAAATAAATTGAACTTAGTAATCAAACTAGTTGATGCTTCCATTTTTCTGGTAAATGAAAGATTTTTACTAGAAATTATTGATAGTAAACTCTAAGTAATAATACGTTAGAAAGTTTACACTTCAATCAAGCAGAATATTTATCATCAAAAATGAGCTTCCCTTACTGGAGAAGATCTTGAGTGGCAACATAGCGGCGTTGACGCACAACGTATTGATTTGAATATTAATTATTTAAAAAATTCGTGAAAAAATTAAAACCGCCAGCAAAAAGCAAAATATATGTCGCTCGATCTTCTACAAATTTATTTATTCATTGACACTGTTGTTGACTCGTCCACTTAACTCCCCCATTAAGGTTCAAATGCGTCAAATATCCCTACAAAAGGATTAATAAACATAAAAGGTTATCAAAGTTTCAGTCTTGTTTGAAAGTTATCTCAAGCTACGACGATACAATATAAACAACTGCACTATATGCTATCAATCAATTATGACCACCACTTCCGTTATCCTAGTACATCTTTAGCATTCAGATCAATAAATATTAACATATAGAAAGAATCAATTTAAATGTACCCTAGAAATTATGTCAGTTTGCATCTTACAGCATTTAAAATTTACACTGAAATGCCAAGCATCTGGGGCTATCCTGTCATTTATTCCAGTGATACTTAACAATGGTAAATTTTCATGCAGTCTCTGGACCGATCAGCTGAGACTAATCATCTCACTCACGTGTACATTAGCCATCATTTAGTTTAAGACTACGCAATTCGAATGTTTCGGCAAAGCAAGATATTTAAGTTTAGTAACTAGTGCGCTGCATAAGGTGACTTCCATCGTCGTGATGTCGTCTATATGTACAATCATAACCACTGCAATAGTCAATAATTCTTTCAGCCAGGCAATCAACACTAACTCAGAATGAAGTCGAGCACGATAAATTAAAAAAAAAACTTTAGAATTTCAAATGATGATCATTCTTCAGTAAATTACCGAATAAAATTTAGCAATCTATCACAGCTGACGCCTCGACACTGCATCTCAACTGTCTGAATGGCGACATGCATGGTCATAATATATCGATTTATCATTATCACCGTAGGCAATTCAGATTCTTAATTATTTTTACTACAATTTTTCATTGAAGCAGAACCCGCTCGATCAAAATAACTTCACTTAGAGTGACTTTTGATATTAAAAATATTGATATTAAATTGATAAAACTTTTGATGAATTTTCCTCACCAAATCTGACATGAGAAACACTCCATGTAAGCATTAATTCATCCGTCTTCATTTATTCATGCAAAACATTCTACAATATACCTAACCATAAGACTTTCTCATTGATAGCCGTTCGTCACTCAAAAAATTTTATCATAAAATATTCTCAAAAATTCTACAACTTTCAATGCAAATTTGTCTTCTACCTTCATTGCATTATGATTTTGCAACATTTTAGACCAGTGCAATTCATTGCTTTATTCAGATTTGTCTGGGCACGTCTTGGTCCTGACGAAGCTTAAGGTGCAATTACTTTTTTGCATATTTAATTAATTAATCAATTAGTATTATAATTTTTTGTATATTTTCAATTCGTCACCGAAGCCTAAAGGGTAATGCTACTCACCCGCTCGAGCTCGTTGACCTTCTGCATACGACCGTCCAGCTCCCGCCTGATGGCCGCCGCCTGCTCGTCTTGACTGTCCAGCTGACAAATCAAATCAGGATTACAAATGTTTGCAGTGGCAATATTTTCCACTTTCTTGTAGGTTCCAAGCGCTCATTAAAATCAAGTTTTTAATAAATCATGAGCTGATTATATTTTACTTAGGCCGCTAAAGATGGTAAAAAAATCCCATAGTTCCAAGATTTAAGACTAGTGCACGAAGCCGTGAATTCTTCAGTTCGAAATCAACCTGGAAGATATCGTTGAAAAAATGAATGGCTAGTCCGCGGTTTAAAGAGCCCCCTTGAATGTCGTTTATCGTGTCCCGAAAAATGATCTGTATTAGCCTAAATTATGTTAATGTAACTAAAGCACCTGCAAGGCGTTGTAGAGCAGCTGATGCTCGAATTTCTTGACGCCCAAGATCTGCTGGAACACGTCGAACAGTTGCTCCTTGGGCATGATCTGCTCGCTGTTCAGGGCCGGTATTCTGTTCGGTCTCTTGGTGTCTTCCTCTCCTGGACACCAGTAATGATTTAAATCTTGAAATTTGCTCGGAGATTTGAACCTAAAATTGGCCAGTTTGTTTCTATCGTACCGTTACTTTTAGATTTATTTAACCATAATGTAGGCCGATTGTGAGTGGTCATCTAATATGCATGTTTATGCTTACTTAAGCACTATGTTTCTTTTATATCTTCAGGCGGGGGTTAGTGTTAGTGAACTCTATTTTAAAAACCGCTGTTGCACAAGATCAGTGTTGCCAGATGGCATAAAAACGACGCCATGCCCGCGGAAAAAGAGGCCAAAATAAGCGTAGAATTCAATATTTGCTAGTTAATTTGTAGGCGGTGGTGCAAAAATTTAATATGCGTTTTTTATAAATTACATTAAGGAACATTAGACAAAAACTAAATAGTATAATTTAGCAAAAAAAAAAGAATCCTTGCACGAAATTCACGAGAAAATGCTATCTATTTTTTTTTGTCATATTCCTCCAACCTAGTTCACTCAGTTCTTCAGTAAAAATCAACATTGAAGTAATATTGGCCTTACTTAAATTTTTTAATTTCTTAAAGCTTCTATATCCAAGTATCTTAGCACTTCAGGCCACGAGACTCACCTTTTATGATACAGTCAAACTTGGCCATCCAAGACGTGATGACGGTTTCCTTACTCAGACCGTCTATTTCTGGCAGGGACCTGCCACATTACCAACAATACAGTTAGAAGTTAAAATTCATCTCGTTAGTTACGACAAGCAAAATATTTTAAATTTATTCTTCCGAGTGCTTTTCTTAACGTAGTTGTATTCGCCCATCACAAAGATATGATAGGTTTTTATAACGTTATTTAAGTTCCCTAGTGATTTTTTCGGTATTGATTTCGGTGATTTTTTTTTCAAAATAATAAAAAACCAATTTTTAAATTAATAAAAATTGATCAAGGCCTTTGTTTAGTTATAAGTGAAAGCATGTAATATTTTTAATGCAATTTATGTAAGAAACAGATGACTACAATCCAGCACACAGAACACATTAACCTAAAGCCCAACTGAAGGTTGTCACACACAGAACGGAGACGAGCCAGTGATTGTCGTTGGACTTGGTCATTTTATAATTTCAGGAAATTAATTATCGATCCGCGTTTGAACTTCCGAATTTTTGATTATTATTGTATTTGAAGCCTGGGCACGCGGATATTTTTCAATACCATAAAAAATTCTCGTCTTTCTATTCACTTCACAGTAGTTCAAGAACTAATGAGCTAAACGGAAATTTTTTTTACGACTAAAAACAAATCATCAAATATGTGACAAATGGTTTGATAATATACACTATTGATCAAATAAAAACGATAATGATAAATTAAAATGACTAATGATAAAATACACAAAAGATTTTCTTGTGTATCCGCAGTACCTATACTTTAGGTTTTACTCGACATGAGTCCACGTAATATTAAATAAGAATGAGAAATTAATGAAATCAACACTTTCCCACATTTTATTACCACACTTCTCTTTAACTTCACTTCTTGTTTGTTTGTCTGTCTGCAACAATTCTTATAATCGATATTTAACCAATTGATCTGAAATTTTGCACACTTGCGTAAAGTCGCAGACAATGCCTGAATCAATTGCCAGAACAGAAAATTTTTTTGAAAAATTTAAAACGTAAAAAAATAAAAAAATTAATATTTACAAATAAAATAATAAATTAATTGTAGATGTGTAACATCGGTGACACCGGCCTCTTTAGAGGTGTGGTCTTTAAAAAGTACTTTTGAACGAATATCTTATTTATATTTGTACTCCAATGGTCCCATTTGAAATACCACATAACAAAACATCCCAGCTACGCCTGATTAAACAGCCGGACCTGCTACTTATTGCGCACAATTCCCAGAGCCGCGACGAGGTAACCTGCTGTGCTTCGATATTGTACGAACTAAGATATTCCCGGAAATCATGTTTGAATTACGTGACAACTTGATTTGCCCGCTTTTTACATAATTTATCCGTTTTATCCTTATATTTTTCGGGACATTTTTCGTCTCCTCTTGTTGCCCTCATTCATTCCTAAAAAAAACGCTTCATTGATGCATTGAAGTTGTAATACGTGATATTAAAAAGATGATAATTTTCTGTAAGCTTAAAGAAAAGAAGAGTTTTTAGGCACAGTGCACGAGCGAGGAGCGGACGTTGCATCGATACGCTCTTTCGCCGGACCAAGCAAGGCGCCGGACCCACATAAGAGCACATAGCGCAACGTTATCTGGACATAGTTTCCTTAATTTCCTTGATTATAAGCTGTAGCAAGAAGCATCATTGGGACTGACCGGACTCTCTATAGTTTCACTCATTTTCTTGATTATAAGCTGAAGCAAGAAGCATCATTGGGACTGACCGGACTCTCTATAGTTTCACTAATTTCCTTGATTATAAGCTGAAGCAAGAAGCATCATTGGGACTGACCGGACTTTCTATAGTTTCACTCATTTCCTTGGTTGTAAGCTGAAGCAAGAAGCAGCATTGGGACTGACCGGACTCTCTTCCTGACGTTGTTGCGGAAGACCTCCCGCAGGTCGTGCTGCGAGCACGCCCCTGACGCCACCAGCGCCGTCACGCGTTCGCTCTTCAGGAAGACGTCGGTGTAGCTCTGCACGGCGTTCGTGAACGCCTCGTCCGCGGCGATCTGAAGCTCGCCCTTAAGGAAGCTCTGAAATACAAATTCAAGAGTGTATGATTTTATTATTGATGTCAAAAGCTCATCTTTCATATACATTCAATATTATATATTAAAATGCAGCCCTGGAGGTCGAGTCGCGTATAAAAAATACTCATATAACTTTAAACTTCTGACTTTTAACTCAAGACTCTCTACCTGCCACTGTTTTGCTGGAATTTTAGCAAACATACTTCACGATACAGCACCAAACGGCATTCAAATCTTCAGCTTAGCTTCTTTCGGCTCCTCGCGACAATTATCGGGCGTCGCTCATAATTATTCCTAAAATTCGCTGTTAATTAATTGAGACGTCATGAGATCACGTTCTCCAGGCCCTCATTAGACTCGTAGCGAGCAGTGATGGTGCTCCTAAACTGTCAGATAACGAGCGAACTCCTACTCTTAATAAAACTTGACGTAGCGCTAGTAAAAACTTCAACGTGCCGAAACAGAACTTGTCATAACGCGGCTTTAAAACATGTCATAGTATCTGACATCTTCCTTACATCGGCTCGGTCCAGCCTCACATATCTGACACCCACCCTTCATCGGCTCGGTCCAGCCTCACATATCTGACACACAACCTTCATCGGCTCGGTCCAGCCTCACATATCTGACACAAACCATTCATCGGCTCGGTCCAGCCCCACATATCTGACACCCACCCTTCATCGGCTCACACCAGCCTCAAATAACTAAGCATTTTCGATGAGATTCTCAGCGTTTCTAGACGAGAAAGGCACGCAGCCCAGCGTCTTTTGGTGCTGCTGGCCGAGACGCCGAGGGACTCTCATGAGCACACAAAAGCGCCTTATTTCCTGTGGCCTTGCACGGAAATAAAAGCAACTCCTGAAGAATGATATTACGTGGCGTTGTGTTTAGCTTGTGTACGGGTGGGCGAGTTCTCTTTTGCACGTTCTGCGTAAAAAAATATTTATATCATACTCCAGCGTTAATGTACAAAATTAATATGTAAAATGTGCGATTTGAAAGCCAAATTTTATGACGAGTCGCATGAGGCTGCCGAGCTGTAAAAGTCACCACCATGTACATACAGATAACTTTTACGCACGACCATTTATTCCTCTGTATTTTTCAAAAAAAAAAAATATTGTAGAACTACCTTAATTCTGATGCGGATAAAAATTTAGGGTGTTCAAGAAAGGTTTGAAAAAATGATGTATTTACAGCTGACGCAAGATGTTCATTACTCTGCGGATATTGATGCCCGTATTTGATTACCTTCAACATAATCTTTCAAATATAATCTCAATAAAATCACTTGTGGAGTACAAACACACTTGAAACAATAATGGATGACGCTTTATCAGTTTCTTGCTCAATAAGTTTATCACTGCTAAGCCCAGTAGATGCTGACGGTTTCGTAACTCCGTCAGTCAATCACGGACGTATTTTCAAGTTTAACCTACCAATCGTAAATGAGAAATCGGCTACTACTTTTATGAAGGCAACTACGTGTACTTCGCCAAGTTTTGACAGTACGGCCCCGCATAGTAGCATATGTTGCTACGCTGTCTCTTTAGAAGACAAATATTGTGGTTTCTCTGATCCAGGGAAACTTATTGTTCGGAACGTATACAAATTGTTGAATTCAATCTACTTGCTTATCCTAACGGGGCCTGGATATACATAGATAGACTGCAACTAATTCTAAAAATATGTTTTTTTCTGTTATCTACCACGTCTCTTGGTCAGAGCTAATGATTAAGACCACGCCACTCGCTCACAGCAAATGATTAAGACCCCGTCACTCGCTCATAGCAAATGATTAAGACCACGTCACTCGCTCACAGCTAATTATTAAGACCCTGTCACTCGCTCACAGAGAATTATTAACGACGATGAGTCACCTGGAAGCGCCCCAGGATGGTATCGAGCTGCTGCTTCGTGACTTTGATGGGGCGCTTGGCGAGGTCCGTGGGCTGCTTGGCGTTGAAGGGGTAGGCGATGGTGCGCATCACGAACACGTACAGCTGCAGCCGCTGCTTGCGCTCTACCTCCTCCCTCTCTTGCTTCTCCTGCAACATAAATATGTGCACTCTTAATATGCAACACTCTATACTAATAATAGGCTGAATTGTACGTGTATTCAACCATCCTACTAGAAACGCCGTCTACCACAATCCTGGTGCGTGTTGGTAACATGCAGGAAACACGGTAAAGTACTCGGCAATACTTGCTACCAATACTTCAAGGAATGGTTATCAACGATACCATCATTACTTACAGATAGCCTGCTCGGTAATTTTGAAAGTCATTCATTTAAATATCCTCATTCTTCTTAGATGTGACTCGGTTGGGGCAAGCATGATCCTTCCTTCAGACTCAACAATCTTTCAATCTTTGTAAGTACGCCGATCTTGTGTGGCTTTTCTTCGTGGGAAAGGCCACGAATATTAGCTGTTATGAAGCTAGACTCTGCTTTTTCTGAATTTTTTAATGTCCGCAACACCGCTCTCCTTATAGAGATCTAAGGCTCAATAACCATTTCTTTTGCTGTTGAATCTGATCTACTAGCCTCTATAGGTCTAAAAAAATCACCGACTGATATCGGGTCCCCATTTTAGCGCATTTCCTGATTTATGGAAAAAAAGGCGCTATTGTGCTCGTCATGTCCGTCCGTCTGTCTGTCCGTCTGTCCATGACCACGTTTTCGTCGACGATAAAATGCGCTGCAGTTAGTGCTGAGTTATATTTTTGTTCTTCAGCGTGGTAGGTTGCGGTTAACGGTGCGGTAATTACTGAACTCGTTTTATTGTCCTTTCAGCTTCGATAAACTTTTTATCCGATATTTTTTGATTTAGGATTAGATCTATGTAATTTTCGGAGAATGATGTATCAATTTCCTGTTTCCACTCAGCCATTTTGGGCATAGGTGATGAAACCGAAAGGTTTTAATGTTTGTAATCCGCCTCCCTTATATAGGGCGGCTCCAGCACAGTAACGGGTGATGGTGTTGGCAATCTTCCCATTAATTAATCCGCTTTAATTTTTGCTTCTAAGTACCGACCATCTGTGACAAATCTTATGAAGAGATAACCTGTAACTCATTCGTTTATTGTAACGACCGCACTTGCCCTGAAGATACTTCCACCGACGCCCTCAGCGCCCGCAATGCAGACATCAACACAAGCGCATTGCCATTACGCTCGTACGTACATATACATAAATAGCGTAGGATTGTTAGTACGGGACTGCCATATTAGAGGCAACTCAGCATCTGACTGTCAGCGCTAGACTGTCAGCACGGAAGTGTCATTACCAGACTGTCATAACTTGACTGTCAGCACCAGACTGTCAGCGCTAGACTGTCAGCACTTGACTGTCAGCACTTGACTGTCAGCGCTAGACTGTCAGCACGGGAATAGTGTCAGTACCCTACTGTCAGAACTTGACTGTCAGCAGCAGAATGTCAGCGCTTGACTGTCAGCACTTAACTGTCAACGCTAGACTGTCAGAACTTGGCTGTCAGCACCAGACCGTCAGCGCGCTACTGTCACCACTTGACTGTCAGCACTTGACTGTCAGCACTTGACTGTCAGCACTTCACTGTCAGCACTTCACTGTCAGCACTTGACTGTCAGCACTTGACTGTCAGTGCTAGACTGTCAGCACGGGAATAGTGTCAGTACCCTACTGTCAGAACTTGACTGTTAGCACCAGAATGTCAGCGCTAGACTGTCAGCACCAGACTGTCAGCACCAGACTGTCAGCACTTGACTATCAGCACTTGGCTGTCAGCACCAGACTGTCAGCACCAGACTGTCAGCACTTGACTATCAGCACTTGGCTGTCAGCACCAGACTGTCAGCATTTGACTATCAGCACTTGGCTGTCAGCACCAGATTGTCAGCACCAGACTGTCAGCACTTGACTGTCAGCACCAGACTGTCAGCACTCGACTGTCAGCGCTAGACTGTCAGTAAAGAACCGTTCTCGGGGAATAGTCAGGTTATATGTCGGAATAATAATGACTTAATAATTGAAAACTTTCAAAGCAATTCAAATGCTATGGCTCATATTAATGGCCACAACTTTTCTAAATAAATCATTAACAATAACTCCTGCACTCACGGCTGGGTCCTCCTGGGTGAGAGTCTTGTCGCTGAGGGCGGAGGGGGAGGGGGACGAGGGGCGGGCGATGGAGTTGGCGCGGGAGCTGCCGCCCCCCATGGCCCCCCCACCGCCCCCCGCACTCGCTGTGTCCACGCTCAGGGTGCTCGACGGCGACACGCTCCTGTCAGACACGCGTGTGAACGTCATTAACTGAGATAATCACATTGATATAGTACTATTAATTAATACCTATGTTAATTAATAACTTTAAATACAGGGTGCGGCGCGGGAACTTACTTATTTGAATTGCGCGCCACGTGGCGGCCATTAGTCCTAGGAAGGTGGCGCCATGCGCAATATGGTGCGCGGGCTAAACTTTAAATGTAGCTCTTTGTAAAAAAGAAAGAATTAAAACGCTATCTTTAATACTTTTTACTTTGTGATTTTTTTAAAAGAGTAAGTTCCCACGCCGCACCCTGTATAATGAATCATCGTCGATAAATAGCACATATTAATAAACACCATTCACAAGTGCAATGTATCCCTCAGCCGCGCTAAGAATGCACCATGTTTGCCCATACATAAAATTTGATACGCATTATGAGAAATTAATCACGAGGATAGTGCAGTTTAAGTACAGACAACCTACAACAATTTGTCCCTACGAAGGTTTGCAGTTTGGCTATGAATATAATTTTAATAATAAACTATTAAACATGTTTAGTACAGGTCCTGTAGCCTCGCTCTGTATGTTTCACAACTAACTTATGAATACACACCCATTCTCTTCATTGCAAAAGCCCGAGCTAAAATTCATGAAATATTACGAAAAATAGCTATATTATGAATAAAGCTATGCATGTGACAGGGTCAATATAATAACAATAACAAAATTGTGCCAGTATTCAATCATCCTACCAATCACACCGTCTACAACAATCCTGGTTCGTGTAGGTTACATGCAGTAAACACGGTAAAGTACTCGGCAATACTTGCTACTAATACTCATACGAGTTATCATCAACAAAATCGTTATTACTTACACATATAATGCTATTGGCTCCCATATATAGGATGGAAAACATTTACTGAAGTCACCTAGGTTGTACACAATATATAACATAATCGATAGTTTAGGCTAAAAGAAAATGAAAAACCACAATCTAGTTCAATTTTAGCACCAATTGGACAAGATGCGCAAGATAAATTCCCCATTTGTGAGGTGAAATAAATGCTGTGGGCACCAAATCTCTCATTAAAACAACATTGACATCTAAGGCACATGAAGCTTCGTACCCTGAATTTCTAACAAACTCAAGGCACGACAGAACTCAGCGCTACACACAACACGAAAGAAATGCGCGCTCATCAAACCTTTTTTGCGCGGACGACGTAAATCAAGGAGGCGTTTGGCTACGAAAAACATTAGCGACATTTAATATATCTGCAAACAAAATGTTGAATTTGCGACTAGCCAAGGCCTATATGGGCTCTGGCCGGGGAGGCGGCGGCAGATGAATGGCAGAACAAAATAAAAGCATTTCGTCGTGAAGAAAAAGGTATGGAAATTGTTGAAGCATCGGTACTTAGCTTTCTGTGTTTCGGGGCACAGTAAAAAGCTATCGAAACTGGGCGCAATGTTGGACGAGAACAATCATGATCTGGGTTCCGATAAATTGATCATCTGGCATCTTTTGTGTACAATATACATTTATCAATGGTGAACTATTATACAAATTCTAAAACTGTATATGGGCTGAAGACATAAGACACTGTCCTGATCAGAGCAGACTCAATAGCTCATGAAGTTTCAATTTGAATGTATAATATCGTTGTATCTTATCATTGATAAACTGAGAAAAGGAAAAACTCCGCTTCTAAAATCCGTATTCGATCAACCAGAAATTGTAATTAAATTTTTGATCTTCAGCTTAGCAAGTATAGGACTTGGCGTTATGTTAGGAAGTTAATAAAAAACGCAAACCATGCACATCGGATCAAATAGATATCACAAGCGGCCATTGATACGCCGCAACAAATTTGCATTGTATTCACTGTTCTTTCCGAAATTTTTCAGTAAAAATTAAATGGTTTTCAAAATTGGGATTATATACTAACAATTTTACGCGGGAAATAGGTACTCAAGTGAAAATGCAAGACTCGCATGAAGAAAAACTGAAGGGCAATAGTGGAGGGTTAATATCAATCTTAAATAACAGGAAAAATTTTCAAGTAAAGGATGTAAAGTAAAAATGCAAATTGGGACTAACACAGAGAACTACAATTAGAAAGACATTGATTAAATTAGCGCAATGCCTACAATGTTCTACAGGGAACACATTTGCGAATTTTTTTAATTGACTTGAGCTCAATGGAAGGAACATCGAACATCAATGAAATGTCTATCTAAATTATGTGTACAGAGAATAAAAAAGCGAAGACACCAAAATGTGACACATTGATAACGTTTAAACTACACATCAACATGATGTAACCGTTTACCTTGTTTGTGAACATCAAAACATTGAATTATGCCAATATAGGCAGTGAATAGAGAGGCGCGAATTATACTGAAAAACGAAAGTAGAACACACACACCACACACACACAGTGATACACATACGCAGGGCGATTCGCTCTTTAGTGCTATAAGAATATTTGATTGAAGAATTTGCAGCACATTTGTATAGAGTCAGTCCCGAAAATGGGAAAGTTACACACCGATAGCAGCGCCAGGGACATGCTTATAGATATGACAACATCGAAAAGCATCGTCGGGGCAGTGTTGGAGACGCTTAAACATTAACATCGACAAAACATGGAAACATTGAAACATTTACATCGATAACACATGGAAACATTGAAACATTAACATCGATTAACACACACTCGGACATCGAGCTGCCGTACCCTGTAGTTGTGCGCAGGCTGGACCTCCGGAGACTGAGGGAAACGCACGAAAGAGGCAAATTTAGGGGGTTAATGAGGGAATGTTAGGTGGTTATGGGAGGGAATGTTTAGATGGAAGAATTGTTAAGAGGGTAAATCTGTAATGCAGGCATACGAGTGTCGGCATAAGCAAAAATTCATTCTGTAGTGTCTGTGTTCACCAGTTTTGTAATTTATTGCGTTTATGCAAATACGATGATAGTCGTAATTTTGTTTTCAATTAGCATATTGGACGTGTTCAAGAAGTATACTCTGAATATTGAGAGACCTTAACTAATTTGTCCCCAATTTTAAATATTATTATGGCCCTCCAATATTAGAAGCGTCAATTCATGTGGAATAGAAAAACATTTTTTAAGAGAAACACAGGACTAAAACATTAACACCAGCCATTATTAAAAAAGTTCAGGGCAGGCAATGTAAACATGAACAATTATATAGCTTAAAAGGAGTGGATGGAAATTTAATGGGAACGCCGATTGAGCCAGATTTTGCGTCAAACATCTTACAGCATCTGAAGAAAAACATGAATCAGACCTAAAAAATATAATCATCTGATGCTGATACTGACACCGCAGTGGAAAGAATGCAGTTTTTCCATTCCAAACCATTCCATTATATGCCGTACTAGGATTGGTTTAAACCCCACGATGTTTAGAACCACCAAAATTGCATGCATGAAATCGACTACAAATATGAATTAAAAATATGGGTGACACTTTATTTCATTCGATCGCACATCCTGAAATTACCTCCGCTGGCCTAGAAAGAATAAGTTCAACCTTCTTCGGGGTTTGACCAGTATCAACCCTTACACTCAAGTATCAGTTAAGCGGAATCTGCGAGCGGAGACGCCGTGCTGTCAATGTGGATTGAGTAGTAGTCGGTACCTGCACCGTTTAGTTAGTAAGTGGGACGAAGTTCATTTTGTATACCTATGGTGCATAATTTATTGATGTGTGCGTGGAATCGAGAAGATGAATGTGCTCGGTGGATGATATAGAAGTATTAATGGTGATATCGGCAAATGCGGTAGAGTAGTGCTTGCCGTTCCGGTTCTATATTCAGAGCGTGTTGAGCTGTGCTAGTGATCGAGAAAATTTGGATAATGGGCACTAATATTACTGGTATTTATCTATGACTCGCATTGCTCAAATTTACTTTGCTCCCATTTGTAGGTAGTTCAACTGAAACTCGTTAAAAGTGATGAGGCTGTCGAATAGATGTTTTCCTTAAATCCTCGCACCTGGCCAGACCGGCTTATTAGGCGGTCTTTCTCGCAGAGCACCAACACATAATTTGAGTGTGGTCAGCTGAATTGTGTTGCCGATCCTTTCTTCATTTTATGAAAGCGGTTTCATTGTGTGGTTGACAACCTACTAGTCATCTTTCCTTCAGGTCTGCGTTGTCTGGCAAGCTGGTGATTCATAATGGCAACGATGATCTGGATTACGAAATTGCTGTTCCTTGCCACTATTGCGTTGGGAATAGAAGGTACGTACAGTACTAATTAATAAAGTATTGAGTAGCAATGTCGTACAGTTAGCGCAGATCAAGTTTCTTAGACCTAGAGCAAACTTAGTATGGTTGCTTGAGCTGTTGAATTCTGAATGAGCTTGAAGTGGGACCTTCAAAAATTTTGAGCCTTGTTCCTCTGGAAGCCATTTCGTCGTTGTGTTCAGAAGTCTCGGGTATGAACGTGAAGTTGACCTCCGCAGCTGTATCTCCGCTTAATGTTTGATCCGCACTGCTGTAATCCTTACGCCCAGCTATTTCTTTTGATTTTCTAGATTAAATTTGTTTAATTGGCAGGAATTAATCGTGGCATTGATAGCAGTATTCAAATGTACTTCTTAGTTCGTAAGATTCAGAAGCATGGACTGGTCACGACACTTTCTTTTATTTAATCGTCCATATATTTTTATTAGGCGGAAAGTAGAAATTTAGATATGACCCAGGCAGGGGTTAGCGGATATGATCTAGTTTGTTGAAAGTGTTAAAAATCATTCGGATGTAGTGGTACAGTTCTCGGCTAAGAGCTACATCAGAATATTTATATAATATAATATAATAATATAACCGCTACATCAGAATATTTGAGAATTCGTACGCTACATAGCGTGAAGGTCAGGCCATAATACACTTGAACTGGTGAAGCCAGTACGCTTGAGGGTTCTCGAGTCAGGGTTGAATGCGCGTCAAGCCGTTGTAGATTCCTTAATCATAATATTGCAGATGCTACCGTTACACCGAATGTGATAGCGGACAACTGCATAGTTGAGGGGTGCCCGCGCTTCAACCCGTCCTGCGTGCTTCACACCGGCGCCCGCGGGAAAGGGCCTCTCTTTTTCCTCATGATATCAGACGAAGATTTGGTGGAATATTATGCTAGCAGGAATCCTGCTCTAGCTGCTCACCTCACCCCTCCTCGAGCAGATGATGCATCAACTCCACGTCCAATAGCTCATGAACACGAGTTTTCAACGACGCCAGTGTCTACATTATCTTCAACCACTTCTCAATCGTCAGTCAACAATGCCCATGATCCTTCATCGTTATATTCTCTTCTTAGAGAATTCTTGACTACGCCTCCTCCTCCTCCTCCTAGATCTGACACTTATTCTACTCCTCGATCTGCCACTTCTGCCACATATTCTACTCCTAGATCTGCAACTTATTCTACTCCTCGATCTGCAACTTATTCTACTCCTCGATCTGCCCCTTATTCTACTCCTCGATCTGCCACTTATTCTACTCCTCGATCTGCCACTTATTCTACTCCTCGATCTGCCACTTATTCTACTCCTCGATCTGCCACTTATTCTACTCCTCGATCTGCCACTTCTGCGTCTCCGTCAAGATCCTCGTTCTCTACCCCTATTCAGACAACTCCGTCGCCTCTTTCAGAGTCTCGTTCCTCAACTTCCCCTTCACCGCCTCCAATTCTTCGATCCATCACTTCTCCGCCTCCTCCACCGACGTCCTCGCTCTCCCCTCACCATAGTCAGACCACTACATCTCCTCTTCCCGCGGCTTCATTAACTTCACCTTCTCCCCCCACTACTTCACCTAGACGACTCCTAGATGTAGATGACGAAGACGGTGAAATAACTACCGAACCTAATGAAGTACTCCAAGCTGAAGTTGGATCTTCGACTCGGAACCCTGTTGAAGATTTGTCAGGCTTTTTCTTGGTATTGGCATCAAGGAGTGGCAAACGGCACGCACTTGAATTGCCCTACATTCCCCTAGAGAGAAATGATGGCGTGGACCACCAAAAAGATAGTGACTATAGAGTAGAATCTTCTTCACCATCTTACAACGTTGGATCAAGTCCCCGGAAGCCCAATGCACGTGCTAGGCAAAGAAATGACAGAAAAGGTAATAAAAAAGGTTACAGCGCTGAGCATCTTCACCTTACACCGGGATTCGACGAATTAATTGTAATCCCTGGTGCCGAAGAATTTCAAAACTATGACGACAAATTTGTCGACTACACATACGAGGATGAGGACGGCAATATTAGCATAAACAGATATGTATACACGTCTTCGTGCTACCCAAAGACCTGCTCGAATGGTATAAAATTTTACCCGCACCCGAAACATTGCAATTCTTATTTCGTATGTGAAGATGACGGAAACGTCACTCGCGTCGTCTGCCCTCGAGATACAATGTTTAACCACAAATTGGGCAAGTGTGAAAGAACAGATATCAACTCTGAAACTCTGTGCGATCCTACGCTTGAGTGCTCGTAGCCCATGTCTGCGTTAATTGTGAGCTTTTCATTAAACGAGATTAAATTGGACATTCTCTTTTTCTCCTGCATGCGTAGGGGATCGCGCAAATCTAGGCTGGTGCAGTCTACTGAACTGATAATGCTGGTAAGAATTGGATCAAGTTTTCAGAGGGGTAAGGACGTAATTCAGAAAGCTAAAATGCAGATGCTGGCGATCGTGTGTCTTTCTGTATTCAACCGTTTTGCCCCACGAAGAAAGAAAATTTTGAACTTGAAAATATTTCCGTCCACAGCTCCAGTGATAGAACAACGTGCTTTGAGAACACAGGAGCACATATGGGTAATGTCTATCTCGACGTATGCGAATGGCTTAAGAAAGTCGTTAGGTCAACAAGTAGAAGGCCTGGGAAATCCTGCCAAACTCGTCTCAAATAAAATTATAAAGAGAGCATAATTTGCTGGACAATCTCCCCAGGCTCTGTGCCAGTCCAGACTTCGCTCCTTCATCTGCTCCCGACTCTGCTGGAAGCGTATAGCAACAGTCTCGATATTTGGGTCAAGGAAACCTTACTGTACCTCCGTTCCAAAATGAGACGAGCTTCCTCCTCTGCTTCGAGCAATGCTTAGGATTTAGCTCCTGATTCGGGGTACGGCTTGGATTTCGGTAGACAGTTTTTAGGGTTCGTCAACTATATAGATTGCATGAACCACTTACGGATGACGCTGCAGAGCGATTGAAGATGTCGATCGAATCTATCAATTGACTTCGACAGGGATCTCGGAGCAAGCGAAACTGTTACTTAAGTAGACAACGGCTGCATCTGTTGTCAACGGGCATAGCCTTAATCAGTAATCGCAGTACAGGAAGAGTTCTATGGGAGTACACTGCGAGCTGAGAACCAATTTCCACGGGACCTGGTGAAAGGTTGCCGCACCCAACAAAGTGCACCCTAACGGCCAACTGTGTCAAAGTTGAACATTCACTCGCAAGCTATGGACCACTAGAAGCGAATTTAACGTGAAAGATCGTAAAATCAGATTTAATGGAGCTGATGCCAAGTTGAATTGATCTCTATTGACTTGGATTAAATGTCATGCCCGGGGCTTCGTGCTGCCGAGAAGTTTGCGGTTACCGTCTCGTTGTCGCTTGCATAAGTGGCTCTTTACTCGTTTCTTTACTCCTACATTAAAGTTTAATTTGAAGCTCGGTGAGAGAATAGATTATACCCTTGAATTATTCTGAGGATAATAAGGAAATGCTTGATAAAACGGGCATTGACATACTGTTAAAATGTGAGAGGAGCCCGTGCACTACAGCTAGCATGCAGTAGGCATTTTATCAGATAGTTATATTCGATATTGGTCAAAGTATTGCGTTCTGAACTCGTGCGTCAGCTACATTGTAATACCGATACATAATTGTCTTAAAATAATTAGACGAGTAGCATAATTTTTTTATCATGTGACATGCGATTTTTTCAACATACAGCAACTATAACGAATTGTAGCCAATCTGCGTGAATTAACTGCTTTTTCGATTGCAGAAGGGAGATGCTTTAAGATTGAATCGACAGTAAGCTGGTGCATCTAATGAATGGTGGCATGTGTTGGCAAGTGATATGATCTTCGAAAATCTATCTTTTACAGAATTAGCACCTGGCTTTGGGCCTGACTTAACCATCGGTGGAACTTCATCAGCCTATACCGTGAAAGATCCTGAAGGAAGAAATCCTACCGATGAATCCACCGAGCGGAACCAGACACCGCCGATCGAAACAAATTTTCGCGGTGGACTTGAAAGGATTAGAAGAGCCAACCGAAATAAGACTCGGATCGAACCAAGGGTTGCATTCACTCTCAAGGGGCCTGCTCGTCGTCTAAGTCAGATGATCGTCAATCCAAAGTGGGAGTATACGAAGAACTGTGAACCAATTTGTAAGGTAGCAGGGACCATGTTCCCCCACCTGACAAAATGCAACATGTTTTATAAGTGTTCTACTGACCTTGAAGTTGAACTAATGAGCTGCCCGCCAGGAACACGTTACGCTCCTATTTTTAAGTCCTGTGACAATCCTGAGAGAACTTCCAACAATTATTGCAAACGGCAGGATAGATGCCCTTGAAGCCACTCCGGTTAGATTTCTTTCCAGGCTATGCAAGGAGCTGAGAGCGACATTTGCAGACAATTTAATTATTAACAAAACGGTGGCGAACTAAATGTGGTTAGCCATAGTTTGCACCGTTACCCACACTGCTCGATACCCTCCAGGAGAAAAAGGAATTTCAAGAGTTAGGCCAATTTATCACTGGAAATGATAAGGGAAAATGTGAACTTTTTTATTAATGTCAATTGTTTTTATTATAGTTTCGTCGACTTCTATGAAATGGAAAGCAGGAGATTTGATTTAGTCACCATTGACGTTAGCCCTGACCTTACAGTCAAGAATACCTCTGATCGTGTGTAGTTTCGAGCAGATTCGTGCATCACACACAGACGAAATGGACGTCTATTCAATGGAAGAAATCGTCCAGTGAATATTTTTAATTCTGATAATCTGCAAACTGTGAAATGTCAACAGCAAAGCTGAAGTAGGATCATTGGCATGACCCTTGAATTCCAAAGGCGAAAGATTACAGTATCCGCATTTTAGCAATAATGCCGTTGGTCACTCAGTACTTGAGTTTTAAAAGATGAACTTTTAACGAAGTTCCTAAACTGAAAGAATTTGTAGAAAATCGTTTGTTTTAATTCAGATTCCTCGTATAAATTCAATTTTATGATGGCATGAGCAGCATATGCGCTTGGCGAGGAGCGAGCCTTACGTTGCTGCGGACTCACGAATTGATAGGCATCCAGTAAATGTCGATAAAGCCGACGTCCGTATATTGCCGAACTGAGCAAGCTGATGTGGCATGAAAATCTCGACAAGTTCAGTCTACAGTTCCTTTGTGATGTGAACGGCAATTAAATGCCTTTGTTTGATTAAATTTTCCTTTTTGACGATGCACTGCTGTATTCTTTCAGTGTTGGATGAATGTAGATTGTAGATTGAATGGATAATTGTTGGACGATAGTAGATTGAATTAGGGATAGAAAATTCCTAATTGGTTTTATGGACGGCAGCTAGCTCAATGGATGTGTGATGTCCTGTCAATGAACGTGCCACTTGTCCATGTATCTCGTGTATGGAAACCTCCAAACTCTGAGCTCACACTCGTACCAGTGCAGTTGTTGTGGCAGCGGGTTTGTCGCTTGTAAATTTTGGATCCAACTCTTGCCTTATTTTCCTGATCGTATTGAGATGACTTCGAGTTCTGACAGCGAACAATTTGGTTATTTTGAGGATAACTCGTTCTGGCATAAGGCTTCTGAGAGGGCGTTTGTTCAGTCGCTCTTAGCTCTGGACGTTTTCGGTCGCAAAGGGTTATTGAAAAATTTGACTATATAGATGAAGAAATTTACCTCTGAACGTGCAAATTTAATGCTTGCTTTGCAGGAAATGTTGTTGAAAAGAGAAAAAGTAGAGATCGGTAGCGAAAAAATGGAAATGCATACGACAAATGACGGAAGTAATTGCAGCCAAACTTCCGTGAAGCAATAAATTTGTATACGTATAACTAGAAATAGTTTTAGATGGCAGAATTTACTGATTTATAACTATAAATGTACACCTGAAAGCTCTAATATAGTGCGCATTCGAAATAGAAAGTCTTGTCGAAAAGAAAAGTTTATGAGACCTGTGGATGTAAACGTTAAATATACTATATAATTAAAATAAAAAAGTTGAGGGAGAATTGCGCTCTAATTTAGTGCGCATTCGTAATCGAATGTCTTTGAGAAAAGAAAAATTTATGAGACCTGTGGATGAAAATGGTTAATTGAATTATATTATTAAAAATAAAAAAGTTGAGGGAGAAGTTGCCCAGCATGCAGCACAGACCTGGTGAGCTGGGCCTGAGGCACCGCCAGTCCAGCAGACTCCTCTTTCCTGGCAGCCTGGACGCCGCCCCCTCTCTGGGGACCTCCTCCCCCTCCCCTGGACGGGGGTGTGTCCTCCACCGCCTCATCCCCCGACCCTTCGTCTGAGCTGCTCGGCTCCAACATGCTTCCTGGGAAAGAATTAAATTAAATAATTAAATATATAAAAAAATATTAAATATATAAAAATATTAAAAACTACTAAATTAATTAATTAAATAGACATTATAACAATAAATAGGCAGCGTTTAGTATGTCTATTAGCTTCTCGTCCCTGCAATCCACACAGGAATTATTATACTAAATTTTTAAGTTATAAAAGAAGTGTCATAGACAAGTTTTTCTAAGCACTGGTTACTTGAAAATACAATCGGTACGTTTGTTACGATGTTCAACAGCTACATTTATTATAATTCGATCCATCGCTTACATTCCTTGGTCAAAACTTGTTGCTACAGTGTCCAATACAAGTAATACGTCACTCGGAAGCCTGAGCAAGAATAACTATTCATTATGTAAAATATTTAAACGCAGATGGCGAAGTTTATATTAGTATAAAAAATTGTCTATGTGCTTGCATTTTAACGAGCTTGACCTCGCAGCCTTCGTAATCTTCGCAGTTTCTTTAGCACTGCACCTCCACCAGCCGCTGAAAATTTACGGCACCCAACACTTGGGTGGCGTCCAAAACGTTGCTAGGACATAAACTTGGTGCAAACTCCACCGCTCTTAAATGAAGAGCATTGTGAGGCTTAGTTGAACTTAGTTTAAGTTAATTTAGTAACCAGATATGAAGGCCGGGCTAATTGAACTTAAAAAGCGGTCTCAGGAATGGTGTAGGTTGTCGCAGTGGGAATTTGAGAAGCCTAAATTGTAGACGGTGCGTGCGCATTGTAGGGAAAAGCAAAGCACCGATGACTGATATCCGCAACTAGAATGTAGTATCAGTGGAAACTAATTTGAACCTTTAGCATGTTCAGCAGCAGTAACATTAATATTGCTAAATAAAACAATCTACAACGACAAAATGATTACACGAGTTATTTTTGTTGCGCAGCATTGCATCTTGAACTCGAAAGTCTGAGTGACTTTATCAATTCAAAGCCCACGTCGGATTACGAAATGCACGAAATAGCTATTTCGTCCGATCAACCTTTTGAAGCTTTTAAAGAAATATTGTTCAGGATCGGAAGATTTAAATTGATAAGGGTCGCAGTATCATAGCCGCTGCTATAGCTTAATCTTCAATACTATAATTTTAACGAACATTGATCATTACATATTTTCTGATAGGAAGCAGCTTAATGGTTTGGGTAAATTATATGCCGAGCGTGAAGAATTTACTTGATTTTAGATAATTTCGGGGAATTTTTACTAGATTTTGGGAATTAATAGTGCCAACATTTCCGTTCCCGTAAAATAATCGTTTGATGTAACACTAAATTGATTTTTTATAATTATATTGTAAATAAATAGACGTCTCAACGCCATCTGCGACGCGTATTCCAGGCTTCATATAAAGACAATTTTCTGAAAGTGTATAACGCGCCCGCGATGTTCGGTTGTACCAAACGTCACGCCAATCTCTTCGTAGATAATTATAATTTGTGTTATATTTTATATTTGAATATTTACGATGAAGCATTCATTATCCATTTCAGTTGTAAAATCTATAGTTGAATTTTCAGTTGTTCAGTGTTAGTAACTCCGAGCGTCTGAGTTCATTTGCAAAGTTGTTTCCGCACTGCAGGATTTCTTGTTTTTTCCGGCAGTGACGCAAGCCAAGGAACTTTATGGCGTCGCGCAGCAGCATGGCGGCGGCCCGGATTTGTTCGAATAGTATTTTGTCTGCGAAGACGTCCACAAAGCTTCGCCTAAAATAATTAAATGGATTTCCCCTTCCGCGAAACCTGTTACCGTAATTATTTTCCGTATCTCTTTTACAATTTTTGAAAAAAATGTCGCATTCCCAGCTTCTGTAACCTGACGTGATGTCAACAAATTTATTCTACGTCGGTGATCCGAGCTTTGCTGTATGTCGTCCTTATCTTACTACCGTCATTATTTTCAGTGCAATAATTGGGAAGCACCGAGTACAGTGCGCGGTCGCTTGCTGTTAGCTCGTCGGCTGACTGGTTATCAGTTTACTTCGCACCAAACTGCTCTCTGCACGAAACCTGCAGCTCGTTAATAGTTCCAGACTTTAAAAGACTCGAGCGGTTCCAAGAACATAATTTTCATCCCGATTTTTATAATTCGTTGACGCCTGTCAAATTTTTCTCAGCAAGTTTTCATAAAAATATTTCCTCGGGGAACTGCACCAAATTTCAAGGCGGCTCGCCATATGGAGCGCGTGCAATTTTCTCTCTAGAATATTTACTAGTGAGAGGAATTTAATAATGCAAATGACACACCAAATTATGCAAATATTCGGCCTGTTTCAATTAAAGAACTCCCAAATGAGTTCCACATTCTAATTTATCCTTGTAACTTTGAATGCTATCAATTCGGTCTTTTTATTGAACCAATAATAAATAATTACAGGCCACGAAAAGGCTTGATTTCAATCATCAAACCATTTTCTGCGCAGACTGAATCAAGTCGTCATTACCCCACACAGAAGATTGAATGTGTTTTTCCATCTGATGTTTGTCAGGTTTTACATTTTCAGGAAAGCCACTTGCTAAAGTCACTCTAATCGCCGTAACTTCGAATGTACGTTCTTCCTGAGGGTGAAATTAAAGCTGAAACTCATAAAGCTTTCACACCGATATTCATGTTATTAATCATCTTATTAAACATAAATATTTCCATCTACAGAAAAGAAGCTAATCAATGATTTCCGGGTAACGCTATAAAGTTCTTTCATTAAAATACTCTAGTGATTGCAAAAATTTGCGGAGCAAATTAAATCAATGAAAACAATAAAATCTTCATTAGCGGTGAACCTCTTCACAGCATAAACCAAACATATCAATAAAAGCTCTAAAAGCATCATAAATAGCTAATATCACTAAAATCTTCGGACCAATTGAATGAGTGGAAATTTCTTTAGACTGTAAATTTCATATATTCTTCATATGCATTATAAACCGTCAAATTCATTAAAATTATTGAATGTTTCACAAACCTATTTCATTAAAATGTTTGTATGCATTAAAGACAACCAAATTTCGATTAAGTCTTCATGTAAATTATAACCCGTCAGAAAAGAAAGTTTTCATATACATTAAAAAAGTTCAATTTAACTAACAGTAAACCAACAAATTTCTGAACACTTCAAAGACTTGATGTATTACTGAAAAAATGCAACTAATATCATCAAAAGCTTTCTGAGCCATAAATTTCTTTAAAATCTTCATATGCATTATAAACCGTCGATTTCATTAAAATCTTCCTGTGCATTTTAAGCCGTAATTTTCTTTAAAATATTCATGTGCATTTTAAAACGCCGCGTTTATTAAAATCTTCATTTGCATTTTAAATGTTTCTGACTTTAAAATCTTCCTAACCGTTGAAAATATTTGATGAATTTAAGGCATTAGCGCGGTTTTCCAATGACAACTTAGCGCGCGGCCTCCAAAATGTGAATACCAGGCATAGCGCAGATGCCTAGAGCCTCATTGGGCAGATGCCTAGAACTTCATCAGACAGATGCCTAGAACCTCATCAGGCAGATGCCTAGAACCTCATCAGACAGATGCCTAGAACCTCATCAGGCAGATGCCTCGAGCCTCATCAGACAGATTCCCTGAATGAGGCTGTCTACTACAGCTGTGTTTGACTGCCTGTTGCGCGACACGCTAACATTCCAATTAATCTGCTAATGAGGTAACATTTTAAACTGAAGCGGAGAATGTCAATATTTGATGGTTGGACAAGGCTTTCAAAGGATAAAGATCGACTAGATAAATTACGGGAATTTTTTCAGCGTAAAATGACTATCGGATGAAGCAAGCTCTTTTACCAGTGTGAAAATTGTGAATTAAATTTTTGAAGTTTCTCTCTGAGATGCGTTGGAGTGTTCCGTAACGCAAAACTTCATATCGGTGAAACTTGATAATCGGTGAAACTTGAAAATGGAAACTTCCATTTTCCTAACATATCAGTTCATGATTTTTTTAATTTAAAGTCAATCGGTTAATATTGGCAAACTCAAAAGTTAATTTTCATCAACGATATATCTGTAAACAGTGTATCATCAGCTGACACAACAACACAATTTTTCTTTAAAGGAATGTGACTTTTGGATGTTATATGCGCGCGTGGCATGTAGGGGACTTTGGTAAGTCCCCGACTCATGTTCGTTATATTGACTTATTCAATTTGTATATGTCATTCAACTATATTTTTAGGGGACGTATCTTCTGAGTATCTATATTAGCATGTGCACATCATTTAACCTTCTATATACCGCCAGACATGAGTAACCTGAGCAATATTGTCACAACCTACTTCCCAAAAAGGATACGTTCTAGTAGCGAAAAATTACTTGCACTGATGGTTGCCGCCATGTACGACAACTTCAAAATGTTCTCTGTAGCATACAAACGTCCTCATGTTGCTACACTCAATAGTTTACGTATAATTTAAGTTAAAAGTTATAAACATAACATAGTGATCTCGGCGCTGAAGCGTAGGCCTAATGTGGACTGTTGCCGATTCTTTTCCTTTTCGTGCCTTGTTCACAGATCTAAACTCGTGTCATTTGACCGGATATTTTCATGACTGACGATAGTTTGAAGTAGCTATTAGACTTCCACCGGGTTCCCGGAGAGTGGCATACGGCGGTAGAGGGTTATGTACCTATATTTAAATGTAATATTATTCGAGTATTTATATATTACCATACATTATTCTAGTATCTATATTATTCAGTTACATATTATTTGAGTATCTATAGACTCAGTTTCAGAAGTTTGCAACATGACAAAGTTTTGAACGAGAAGAAAATGTTAAAGAAGAGAGGGAAATGAAGTTAGTTTCCAAAAATTATTCAAAGAATTTTATGGGGCGCTTGAAACTGCCTGGTATGAATTTGCAGGCTCGGTCTGCGTACCGAACTTGGGGCTTGATTTGCAAAATTGGGTTAACTTCATGCCGGGAAAACCTCCGATTTCATGAATACGAT